CCACCATATTAGTGCTAGTCTCGTTAGTACAACTTCCACCATCAATTATTACACTATATACCTTGCCATTGACATGACACCGCGTGTGGAATATGTTTTCTCACTATGACTCCAAGTCATCCGTCTTGATTTGAGCACTGAGAGCTCCCCTCGCGACCAACAGCTTACCACCAACCGCATACTCTGTGGTGTCTTCTTCATTAGCATCTTCCAAGTCCGACATGTTTGCACAATCACTTTCACTTTCAGTTTTCACTTCTCTGCTGTCCAGTAGAATTGTTGTTTTCTTGTTTGGGTATTGAGAAGCGATGTGCCCTGTTCCCAAGCAAAGAAAACATTTGATGTCCCTGTTTCTTGATAGCAGGGATTCTCCTTTCGGAATAACCCTGCTAGCACCTTCTTCCTTGCCTCTCGGTACTTCAAATCTTCCTCTTGCAATAGCCCCATCTCCTCTATTATTTTCCCACTTCGATTTCTAAGAAGGACTAGAACCCGAAGATCCAGGTTGGTACTTTGCTGTCCCTTTCCGTCTCAACTACCTCTATACCTTCATGGCTACATGTAACATGTCTTCAATTTTCACATAGTATTGTAACTCCACTACATTTGCAATGTCCTTTTTCAATCCACTCAAAAACTGAGTCATGGTGGTTTCCCTATCCTCCTCCACATTTGCCCTAATTATTAGCATTTCCATCTCCTTATGATAATCTTCCACACTCTTGGAGCCTTGATATAAATTTTGCAGTTTTTGATAAAGCTCCTGGTAATAGTGATTAGGTACAAATTTCTTCCGCATTATAGCTTTCGATTCCTCCAATGTATTGATAGGTCGTTCCCCATCCCTCCACCTCGTAGTCACCACTGATCCCACCAAGTAATAACATAATCTATGAACTCAAGGACTGTAATTTTCACCTTTTTCTCCTCGAGTAATTGTGACAATCAAAGATAAATTCAATCTTCTTCTCCCACTCCAAATATGCCTTCGAATCACTCTTTTCTTTGAATGAAGGAATGGTCATTTTAATGTTACCCAAATTTCCATCCACATCATCTTCACCAAGATTCCTATCCCTCCTATCTTGCCTAACTCCTCTATTTCTAAACCTTTCAATCTCCGCATCCACAATCACACCTTCATCTATCCACTATCAACCTCAAAATCACTATATTCCTCCATCCTACGTTCTTGCCTACCTTGCCTCCATACATTAGCAAGAATTGGATTTAGCCTTTCCAATTGTGCATCCTGCCTATCCAATCGATCCCTCACGTCTCCAAATATCCTTTCAATCCTCCACACCGAGTCCTCTAGCATAGTAATTCGGTCATCAATTCTACCTGGATTTGATCCTTCCTTGTCCAACATCATAAATCTAATTTATTTTTCTGCCTCACAAATTTCGTTTGAAATTAACTCAATATGGCTGTTTCCCTCGATTGTTCTCACCACTCTGCCTTTTACCACTCGTTGCTCTCATCAAGTGCTTTAAGGAACAATTTGGAACTCAACCAATAATCAAATCACGTAGAATCCAAACAGAATGTGAGTGAGATTTTGAGACCCGATAAAATTTGGATTTTTGGACACTTCAAAGAAATAAATTTAAAAAATAAAAAAAATTGGACTCGAAAGTAGCTGACAAAATTTTTTCGAGATCTAAATACTTTTTCTAAATTCGATTTTTTTATTGTATGGATGAACAGTACCGTACGATAAACAACAATTTTTTTAAGATCCGAAATACAATGATGATACCGACAAAGAAAACGAAAGTTGATTTAGGTGTTAGATTAGCCCAAAAACAACTTTTGAGGTTTTGATAGAAAAATTATGGATCTAAGACTCTAAATTAAATATGGGACACAAGAACACGAAGAAACTAACATCATGAAATAAAGATTCAAACAAGAATTAAAAAAAAAAAAGATATAACCTTGAATTGGAGCCTAGGCTCTGATACCAATTGATGTGAACCTATGTAGTCAATCGCTACCAAACCCACAATCAAGATTGAGATCGTCCCCAAGAAAGCCAAAACAAGGTTTTGGATTAAAGCAACCCGAATCGTCAACGATGTGCGGACCTTTTGATTACACAAAATTATGTGAATCTCACCCGGTTGATTTGAACGTCACAAGATTTGTATCTTGATAAGTTCGTAGATTGTTCAATTGAAAAACACAAGAAGGAAGCAATAAAAGCCTCTTAATTGATAATAATGTCAAAAATTGCAAAACAACGAATTATAAAAAGTATTTATACTAGACATAAAAACCTAGACAAAAAAGTGCACAATCTTTTAAATATAGTAAGAAATTGAATAAGTATAGAATTCTATCAAATATGAAAAATCTCGAGAAAAGGCAAAAATGCGTCGAACTTTATGATCCAGTCCCATCTTCGGCAGCGTGTAACGTGTTGATCGAATTCACCTCGACTTTCGACCCGAATATGAAACTTGTCCCATTTTGAGTCTTGAACATGGTTTCATCAATAGTCACTTTGATGAGCAATCCCATCACCTCTTTTACTCACTTTGCCTCGATCGTATCATAGGTCCACCATCGACTATTAATGGATCTTTCCCCGGGCTTGACGTTGGACTTAACTTTGACACTTATGTGTCGTGGATCACATCAGGTAGTTGTTTGGTGGTGAATTACTAGTCGGAGAATCACTGTTAGCAAACAGTATATATCTAGATTGTGGGATTAAGGTAAAGGGACGTGAGTTGACGGCAAATTTGATACCTCTTGACATACATGATTTTGATGTTATTTTATGTATGGATTTTCTGGCTTCAAATCGAGGTTCGGTTGATTGATTTTGAAAGGAAGTTGTGTTTAGACAGTTAGGACAGCCTGAAATTATATTCAATGGACAATGCAGAATTTTACCATCTTGTACAATTTTTGCTATTGATGCTAGAAGATTACTCAACAAGGGTTGCGCTGCATATTTGGCTCATGTGCTTGATATGGATGCTAGCAAACTAAAACTGGAAGATATCCCAATGCTTAAAGACTTTCATGATGTATTTCTAGAAGAACTACCAAGTTTACCATCATACAGGGATATCGAGTGCACTATAGATCTAATTCTAAGAACTGCACCTATTTCACGGACACTATATGGAATGGCTCCAATAGAATTGAAAGAGTTAAAGGTTCAGTTGTAAACGTTAGTAGGTAAGGGCTTCATCAGACTTAGTATATCTCCTTGGAGAGCACCAGTTTTATTCGTAAAGAAAAAAGATGGCACCATGCGACTATGCATAGATTGCAGACAGTTGAACAAAGTGACAATTCGTAATAAATATCCCTTGCCACGTATTAATGATCTTTTTGACCAACTTTGCGGTGCTGCAGTATTTTCAAAGATTGATTTGCGTTTTGGGTATCATCAACTTAAAATCAGGGACAGTGATGTACCGAAAACTACTTTCAGGACAAGTATGGTTATTATGAGTTTCTTGTGATGCCATTTGAGTTGACCAACGCACCAGCAGCATTTATGGATATGATGAATAGAGTGTTTCGCTCTTATTTAGACAGATTTGTGATTGTATTCATTGATGATATTTTAGTGTACTCTCGAGATCATGATGAGCACACATAGCATCTCAAAACCATCTTGCAGACTCTATGTGATAAGCAGTTGTATGCTAAATTCAGTAAATGTGAATTGTGGCTTGATAGAGTTGTATTCTTGGGACATGTCATATCAATAGAGAAAATTTATGTTGACCTGTTGTTTTGTAGAGGGATTTTCTAAGATTGCTCTTTTAACTAGAAAGAATGCTAAATTTGTTTGGAATGAAGATTGTGAAAAAAGTTTTCTTGAATTGAAGAATCGATTAATGTCAGCTCCAGTTCTTACCTTTCCATCTCCCGATGAAGAGTTTGTGATATACGGTGATGCTTTACTTCAGGGTCTTGGTTGTGTTTTGATACAGAATGGGAAAGTTATAACGTATGCTTCCAGACAGTTTAAGAAACATAAATTGAGTTATCCTACACATAACTTAGAGCTAGCTGTAGTTGTCCTAGCCTTGAAGATATTACTTATATGATGAGAGATGTCAAATATATACAGATCATAAAAGCTTAAAGTATATTTTCGATTAGAAAGAGTTGAACCTGAGGCAATGAAGATGGTTAGGGTTGATAAAATATTACGACTGTAAGATTGATTATCATCTAGGGAAAGTTAATGTAGTTGCTGATGCTCTCAGTTAGAAGATATTGAGTCCTATGACCCAGAGTAATGCAGTATGTTCTTCTTTGTTTGGTGAGCTCATAGCTTCACATGCCTAATTGTTAGTTACTAATGTAGGAGCATTGTTTGTCAACTTCCAATTGAGGCCTACTTTGATTGACACAGTTAGAAAAGCTCAAACTTAAGATCCAGTGTCGAGCAAATTGAAAGAAGAAGTTAGTAAAGGAAAGCATACGGATTATACCATTCGAGATGATGGAGATTTTGTTAGGGGAAGTAGATTATGTGTTCCAGGTGATTTGAAACTAAAGAGAGAAATTCTAGAAGGGGCATATAGTTCAGTTTATGCAATGCATCTAGATAGTACTAAAATGTATCGTATACTCAAAGAACAATTTTGGTGGCATGGAATGAAGAGAGAAATAGCTGAGTTTGTATCCAGATGCCTCATTTGCCAGCAAGTGAAACCAAATCGTCAGAAAATAGCAGGATTGTTACAATCGTTGCCTATTCTGGAGTGGAAATAGGAGAACATTACTATGAATTTCTTATTTGGACTTCTACGAACTCAGAGTGCACATGACGGTATATGGATCGCTATAGACAGATTGATGAAGACTGCCAAATTTTTGCCTATTAAAGTCACTTACTCGTTAGATAAATTGACAAAAATATATATTGATGAGATAATCATTTTGTGTGGGCACCAGTATCTATTGTTTCAGATAGAGATTCTAGTTTCAGTTCTAAATTTTGGCCCAGTTTGTAGAAAGCTATGGGTACTAAACTTCATTTCAGTACAACTTTTCATCTACAAATAGATGGTCATTCAGAAAGAACTATTCAGACCTTGGAAGACATGTTACGAGCTTGCGTACTACAATTTAAGGGAAATTGGGATACTCATCTTCCTTTGATGGAGTTTGCTTATAATAACAGTTATCATTCGAGTATAGAAACGACTCCTTTTGAAGCACTATCTGGTTGAAATCCAGAACTGCAATAGGTTGGGATGAAGTGAGCGAAAGAAAGTTATTGGATCCTGAATTTGTTCAGATTACTGCTAAAAAAGTAAGAATAATTAAAGAAAAGTTTATGACAGCCCAAGATAGACATAAGAATTATGCTAATAGACGCTGAAAAAACCCTAAATTTGATGTTGGGATAGAATTTTCCTGCGATTTTTGCCATAGAAAGGTGTTATCAGATTTGCTAAATAGGGTAAATTGAGTCTTAGGTATATTGGCCCATATGAGATTGTTGAACTCATCGATCTAGTTGCTTATCGATTGGCTTTGCCAACGAAATTGTCCATAATTCACGATGTATTCCATGTTTCCATGCTTCGTAAGTATATTCCAAATCATCTCATGTGTTGGAATCACAACCAGTAGAGCTGAAAGAAAATCTTGCATATTAAGAAGAATCAGTTCAAATATTGGATGGGAAGGAACATGTCTTGTGTAGTAAAACTATTTCTTTGGTTAAAATCTTGTGGAGAAATCATGCTGTAGAAGAAGCGACATGGGAAAGTGAAGAACATATGCGTTCTCAGTATCCACAACTTTTTCGTACTTAATCAATTGAATTTCGAGGACGAAATTCTTTTAAGTGAGTGAGTTTTGTTATACTTTAATTAATAGGAAGAAAAAGTCAAATATGTTATACTATAAATAAAAATAAAAAAGAGAGAGAAAGGCAAAAAGTCAGGCGGTGAATATTTATTTATCCAAATCCAAGTTAAACTCAAACCCATTTCATACCCATACAATACACATAGAGAGAGATGAGAACAGGGAGAAAGAAAGGAGAAAAAAATAGGAAGAAGAAGAAAAGTTAGGAAAGTTTGCCTATGTTGTTAGAAAGTAAATGCTTCCTATTATTAAGCTTGAATTCCTCAATTTTGAAAGGTAAGTAAAAAGTTACTTATTGTCAAGTTATGTCTAATTTTATAGGTGTTAGATTTTAGATTAAATTCAATTTTATTGAAGAGGCTAAGTATAATAAGCTATGAAATTGAGATAAATGAAAGAAAAACTAGATTTAGTGATTAAAAAGACTTTAGAAATCGTTTAAACGTGAAATGATTAAGTTTGGGTAACACCTATTTAATTATTGAAATTAGTTAAAATAATTAATTAATAATTTAAAAATTATATCATATTTCATCGTGTCATGAGAGAGAAGAAACGAAGGAGAGTTAGGTTGAACGGCTTAGGGTTTCTTTTCATTTGTTTTATGCATAAATGCCAATACGACATCGTTTTGAGCAAAAATCGGGGTCTTATATTTTTTTTTTTGCTTCAATTTTGAAAGAAACTTGATTAAAAACTGTACAAGAGAGAGCATGGGTGAAAATTAATAATGCTACTAGTACAAAGATGGATGACAAAATAGGTTGACAAAGACACGTGTACGATATGGATGGAAGGAAATTGGACGGTGCTGATTAAAAAGTCAGCAAGCAATGCAAAAACGTGCCAAAACCCATTTTACTGTTACAATACCTCTGAAATCCCCTATATTGTTTCTGAAAGTAAAAGAGGGACGAAGTTGAAGACATCTTAAAGGATTTTGAAGTTAATTCATCCCATAATGTCAAAAATCCGACATTTTCTAATGGGTGTAGAAAAAAATTTCCATTGGCTATAGCGAAAACTCCAATCATTTTCCCCAACTAGTGTAGCAAGAATCCAACATTTGAGGAGGAGCACACTCAGTTGTTATTTTCCAGTGGCTGTAGTGAAAATTCCATTCATTGTCCCCACCTAGTGTAGCAAAAATCTAACATTTGAGAATGAGTTGTTGTAGCAAAAATCGAAGGATGGCTAGGTAGCGGGAGACCAAGCATCCCGTCGTGTCCTCATCTCCGACGACTTGTTCTCATCTCCAACCCTACTTGGTTGCTATGGAAGAAGGTATGGGCAATTTCTTGTTGTAGCTTGGAATTTATTGATTAAGATTGAGCTGAAATTTGTGGGTTCCAGTGGCTGAAATGAGAAATGAGAATTTGTGGGTTTAGATTTTTTTTATTGGCTGCTATTGATGGATATTCATACGATTTTAGATCGATTTGTCCATGTATTGGGTTTTTACATATGGTTGGCATTCTTGGGCTAGTAAGGACGAAGATCAATTTGAAACCATCATTTTTTGTGATAAAGTTGAGAGGCTAATTCTAATGGATCAAGCAGTTCACCTACACTATGTTGTTAATGTTAATATTATTAAAGTTTTTGGTCTTCAGATTTAGTAATTGTATGTATGTCTCTCAGGTTTGCAGAATATGGAAGATGTTCAGGTTTGTGGAATCCAAAACTGAAAATGTGGGTGACAATGAAAATGTTGTGGATAAGGAAACTATAGGAAGAGATGATATTACTGTGCCTGCGGTTGGTATGCAATTCAAGGATGAAAAAAGAGTGTATGATTTTTATGCAAGATATGCTTATGCCGTTGATTTTCCAATTAGGAAGAGGAGTTCAATGAAGGATGACGATGGGTTTTGAGACACGTCACACTGACATGTAGTCGGCAAGGACGAAGAACCAAAAATGCAAGCACTTCAATGAAGCCACAACCAACAATTCAAACATGTTGTAAAGCTAGAATCTCTGCATCTTTCGATATCCATGGTTACTGGAAAATTAACACAGTGCACCTTGATCACAACCATAAGACAAGTCCTGTGAAGTCCAGGTTGTATCGATGCAATTGAGAATTAAGTGCATATGTGAAGCGAAAGCTCGAAGTGAACGATATGGCTGGAATACCATTGCACAAAAGTTTTAACTCTACAGTTGTCGAAACAGGGAGTTATGAGAATATGACTTTTATGGAAAAGGATTGTCGGAATTACATCGAGCAAGTGAGATGATTAAGACTTGGCGAGGGGGATGCAGCAGCAATACAATCTTACTTTTGTAAAATGCAAGCACGATGCTCGGGATTTTACTTCAATATTGACTTAGATTACGAGTCTCGTCTGAAGAATGTTTTTTAGGCAGACAATCGATGTAGACAAGCATACAAAGAGTTTGGGAATGTCGTCACATTTGATACTACCTATGTAACTAATAAGTATGACATGTTGTTCGCCCCCTTTGTTGGTGTAAATCATCATGGGTAATCAATGTTGTTGGGTTGTCGTTTGGTATCGAATGAGGACACGGATACATTTGCATAGTTATTTTGGACATGGCTCCAATGCATGCGTGGTCAAACTCCACACGGAATAATTACTGATCAAGACAGAGCAATGTAAAATGCTATTCAGATAGTATTTCCGAACACGAAGCATAGATGGTGCTTGTGGCACAATTTGAAAAAGTTGCCTGAAAAATTTGGATATCATGTGGATAAGGCTTTGATATTTTCGGCTATACACGTTTTGGTATATGATTCACAGTTATTCGAAGAATTTGAGGACGGTTGGAAATTGATGATTGACACATATGACTTGCATGGTAACGATTGGTTGTCAGGTTTGTTTGAGAGTAGAGATAGTTGGGTTCTGTGTTTTTTGAAAACAACTTTTAGGCTAGAATGTCAACAACACATAGAAGCGAGAGTATGAACGCCTTCTTCGATGGTTATGTGCACTCTAAGACATCTTTGAAACAGTTTGTCGAACAGTATGAACGGGCACTACGGAGTAAGGTAGAGAAGGAATTTCAAGCTCATTGTAAGTCTTTCTCTCAAATGGTTGTATGCGCAACAACTTACAAAATGGAAAAACAATATCAAAAAGTGTACACCATTTCGAAGTTCAAGGAAGTTCAAAGAGAATTTACGGGAAAGGTTTATTGTGACCTCATATCTGCTTTAGAAGGTAACATTGGCACGACATACTAGGTGAGTGAAGACGTTTCAGTGGGCGATCGGCAAAAGAAAATAGTCTTATTCAACAGAGAGAAATGTGAGTTTATTTGCAGCTGTCACTTGTTTGAATTTCGGGGAATAATATGTAGAAATGCAATCGCAGTGTTGACAAGGAACGATGTGACTGTAATGCCGGATCGGTATATACTGCGGAGATGGAGACGAGATGTCATAAGAACACACACGAGAGTCGCCATTAATTATGAAGGATTGGTTAGTACTCTAGCATAGTTAAGGTACGATGACATGTGTCAGACATTCTCCAAGGTAGCAGAACTTGCAGCTGATGACGAAGGGCGATACCGTGAGATAAAGAATTGGATAGAAATTCAAAATAAAGAGCTTCATTTGACAAAGTCGTGTTCTGGTAGTAATATCATTCCAGAGTGCAATGGACCTCAAGATCCTGCCAGCGGGAGTGTCAGGGATCTGAAATCGTTGAAGACAAAGGGGGCGCCAAAGACAAAACGAAGAAAAGGTCCATTGAAGATGAGGGCTAAGAAATCGAAGGTATATTTTTATGTCATACTCTTTTAGTTACTTCATTTTACACACTAAGTAATCGGTATGATGTACATATAGGTACGATCAGATCGAACCAAAGGGAAGAGACCAACACCGATGCGTAGTCGTATGGATGATGGTGTACACGAGGTCCCACCTCCTTCTCAACAACAATATTACATGCCGATGCCGTTCTCGTGTCCGTAAGTCCTATTGATTAGTATCTTAATTATAGCGTGTCTTGCACACTTCAAGTTGTATTAACCCCTGTGAATTTATATAGGATGGGATGAGTCGTGTGTGTACACAATAAGTGCCATCTTCTACTTTGATCCCTTGTCCGACAACAAATGTAGTTTCTGACTCACAAGGTACACAAATGTTTAAATAATAGCAAGGGAATTTCAATTGGACGACTTCCTTTTCGTTCATTCATTTTAATTCGAACCTTAGGTCATGTGATCCCGCACGGCATTCAATATTTACCGCATCATGGTGGGTCCATTTAAATTCATACAAACAGGTACATTTTATTCGGCAGACGAATTGATAGCTTCTGGGTCCATTTTGATTTTGCCAAACAACTATTTTGACATTTTATTTTCCATATATTTGCAGTTATGGAGGAACCATTATAGATGAACCATTACCTACTTGATATGGAGCCATTAGTGTCAATGCAACAGATTCTAGGTTCATATTCATTCTGCCAAACAACATGCACCCGATGCCGTATTGTAGTTGTGTTTCAAAATTTATTTGAACTTTGAAAACTCTAATGTACTTGTGTAACGTATTTTGAAGTAGCGTTGAAGTTGTAAATCCAAACCTAAAATGTGAACGCCTAGATATAGGTGTTAATGTAGTTTTTCCAATATTTTGTAAGTGCATTTTCTCATCAATATTGTTTTCCAGCCAGTTGGAACGTGGTGTGAATTTTCTCATCAATATTGTTTTCCATCCAATATGATAACTTGCGCACAATTGCACCATGAATTGCTTGACGAATACAATCTGTAATTGATGTTGTTGGGAATAATATTAGTGAAAGATTTGCTACTGTTTTTTGAAACAGTGACTCAGTGTTAGTGTTTAAAAAGTAGCTTTTTTATTTCACTTCATTTGAAAAAAATTAATAAATTGTAAAAATTTATTTATAACTCAAATAGCAACAACTTGAGGAGAAGAAGCCATACTGTTATATCCTAAGCTTGGGGAGGGGGAAGAAGAGCTTATCCAGTATTTTGAAGAATTGGTAAAAAGAAGGTTCTTACCAACCATCAGGGAGACACAGACAAAGCTATATAATCAAATACTAGAGGAGGTTATAACTTAGAAAAAAAAGAGAGCATAATATTCTATAAGAAAATGAAATGGAATGCCTATGAGGGACTTAAGATCTGCTGAAGGTAAATTTAATTCGAAACCCACAGTTCTCATTCATTTCAACTGCTCAAATTTTACATAAATACAGATGTGAAGTCTAACATAGATAGCCAATCATTATGCACTTCTCAAGCCGTGTCCGTCCCCTTCACTTTCACTTGGACAGGTGATATTCCCCGATGGATGGTCACATTCACGTTCATAGACACCAACAGTTCTTCTTCGTTATTCAGCTGGAACATTCGTGACAGATCTTCGACTTTTTCACGTGCAACTATTTTACTCAAAGTAACTCTACCGTTACTCAATTTACTGGTCGCTTCCCCTTCTTTACACCAATTTCGAAACCCACACTTTTCACTGTAATATTTAAAAATTTTTCCTTTATTAATAGTGTCCTTTTCAACTTCGAAAAACTTCTGAAATCCATGTTCACAACGTGGACATCGACGTTTTATTGGACAATTGCCGAAGAAGTGTCCAACGCTCCTACAACCGTGGCAAACTTCGGAGTTTTTACCTGGCATTTTGCGTTGCTGAATACATTACAAACCATCATACATCAGAAGACTGAAACCATCTCATACATGACATAATAACTATAGCAAATCAATACCCTTCACAGCGTAAAACAGACACGGAAAAGAAATAGGTGGCAGGAGAATATGGAGATAACACGCATTTCAAATCTTCATTCACAACATCATTCAATCCCCGACCCTAAACACAGTTTCAAATCCAAGAATGTGAATTGAAAAAACAACTAGGGAGATTGCCCATGTCAAATTGACGAGAAATTGTATTTGTATAAAGAAAAAACAGTGAATAAAAAAAATTGTGAATCAAAAAAGAAAAGAAAAAAGGGGGCCTTCAAATTTCAAATACATTCATAATCAAATGTAACACAAAAATGCTTGAACGAAAAATCAAATAAAAAGCAATGCAAAGAGAGGACTTATATGCATTCAAACAACCTATTTTCCCTTGTCCTGCTTAAATTAATTTCAACCGAAGGAACGCTAATCATGAAAAAAAAGGAACAAATATCTCTAAACCAAAATACATGGACAAACCAAATGACTCAGTTGAAGGGAAGGATGTCCCGTGTCGCGATAAATGATTCACCCAAAGTAACTCTACTACTACAAGCGCCTGTACGACTGAAGCTAAAAAACGTGCCTACCGGAGGTGAATATTTTGGAGGAAATGAGGAGAGTGGCTGGTAGGGTTCGATTTTGGGGGAAATTGGTGGTGAAGGTGAGAGAAATGAGTCGATTTCAAAATGTTTTTGAAATTGAATAAATAAAATAATTGTCAGTTCCTTTATGTTATTGTATGAAATAGAAATGAATATTGATGACAATTATAGGGCCCACTTTTTGATTTTTTAATCAGCACCATCTAGTTTCCTTTCATGTATATTGTACACGTGTCTTTGTCAACCTATTTTGTCATCTATCTTTGGACTTGTAGCATTATTGAGGTGAAAATAGATGAATAAGCGGGTTTGGGCCCCTCAAAACGCAACAGTTGGAGGGGAGAAGAAAACAAGAGGATAAGAGCTGCTTGAGCTTGACTCGAAAATCCACCCCCAAAATCAATGGCCTATTCAACTTCTTCGTCTCTGCCCCGTCTCCACTCTTATGAAATCATCACTCGCTCTCTACATTGCCAGAAGATAAACCCATCTTTCATATTGTCGCGCGTCGAAAAGCATTCTTCCCCCTTTTGCTTCTCATCCAAGAAGAAACTTAATGTCATGGACCAAATTCTCGATTACATTGAAGGTATGCTACTCCTTGCTTAATCACTTGTAACCCTGGTTGTACGAATAAGCCATTTCGTGTTCCTTTTAGGGGGTCCAAAGTTGAGAAAATGGTACGGGGCACCTGATCTCCTCCCTAAAGATGGAACCTCATTGGAAGAAGATGAGCCTAGAGGTAATTTTTCCATAAGAATAACATTTATATTGAACATATTTTGTACAATTGCTTTGTATTGAGGATGGCGATTCTTTTTCTTTGATTTTTTGAAACAGGAGGAGATGATGAAGTTAGAGATGCAGTATTAGTGACTGATGGAGATAATGAAATTGGTCAGGTGGGTTATGCAATGGATTTCCAGTTTCTTGTTAAAATTATTATGTGTAACTCGTAACTAAATCTTAAAAAATTAAGCCGATTGAGAAGAGATATGCTTATTTACTTAAATTCAGTCTTCAACATGCTCCACGTGAGGGGCGGACATTTTTTTTCCTTCAAAAGTTTGACAACTGCATGAATTTCTTCAATGGATAGCAACGCAACTCAAATCCAAGACCTTTATCTTCTATATACCATGTAGAACTATCTCATTTAAAAGCTTTAAGATGCTAGAAGAGGGACAAATATATTTATTTTTAAATCTAGTCTTTAATAATCTGCACTTCAGACTTCATGGCAACTGTAATTTCCAGTTAGAGCATATTTGGTACCAACTACTGAAGAGCACAATGGACAATGCTGTAGTTTATATTTGTTCTTTGTTAGTATCCAATTCTGGACAGTGCAACTAACAAAATAAGCCACTAATATGTTCCCCAAGATTGGTTTCTTCATCTTGTGAGCAACTCAGTTTTCTGATGCATGAACTTCAGTTTCAAGGTCTTTAACTTCTGCAGATGATTATACTGTCCCTGATTGTCAAACGAGTTCGAGTTAAAGCATTGGTAAAGGATAAGCGGGCTGCTATGGAAGCCTTTGGTACTTATGTTGAGGTTGGTGCATTTATATTGTAAAATTCTACATTTTTCTTTTGTTGATATAGTTGTTTGCTATATTTGTTGGCAATCTTTCTCAAGTCTTATGTGATTTATCATTATTTCAAAGTCTATAGCTGGAGATGTCAAGAATAATACAATTCTAAAGAAGGCACTAAGAGGCGTCCGTGCAGTGATTTGCCCAAATGTATGCAATTCTCTACTCCATCTATATTTTCACTTTTTGTTCTGTTTTAATTAATTTCTGTAGAAAAAGTGCAGCACTCATACTTGTATTCTTCAATGGAGGATTAGATCTCCTAGACTTTATTTTCGGTGCTCTACCCATGACTAATATGAACTCAAAACTTCCTTCGTAATTTCCAGATTTCTTTGCAGTGACTCCCTGATTTCAGAATTCAGAGGGAACCTCAAAGTGGTTTTTATATAATATATGGCCAGTGGCAGATCTAGGAAAAAATTCAATACGGGCTAATACGTATAAAAAAAAGTAAAATATTGCACCTAAAAAATATATATATTTTACTTAATTTTTTTTTTTAATGGACATTTGGACCGAAGGGACAGGTTGTAGCACGGTCCAGCTCGTCCCTGGATCCGCCCATGATATATGGCATTGTATTCTCCTATTACTTTTTCACAACTATGATTGCGTGAACATTACCAGACAAAATTAATAGTTAACAACCTTTTTCTAATGTTCAATATAGACGTATTCTTTATCTCAGTGTTTACGTGATGTACTATTTGACGAACCTATGCATATATGCAGGAAGGATTTCTAACTAATGTTGATAGGTGGAAAGGTTTACAACACGTGATCCTGTTATCTCAGGTATCCCTAATGTGCATCCTATGGATGAACTATGTGACCACAAAATAACATATGTTTAGATTACAATTTTGGTAAGTTTTTAGTTGTCTGTCTATAGAAATACTAGTGGAATTCAAGCAATGATGAATAGCAATGCAAGAAAATTAGCAGAGCAAGATGAAAGCATGGTGAAGGCCTCTGGAATCCCTTATACCATCATCAGAACTGGGTTTCTAAAGAATAACCGTGTAGGGAAGCAAGGCTTCAGCTTTGAAGAGGTACTCGTGATATATTTTCCTCATTCAGTTGGTTGATACAGAAAATCTGCTCAACCGGTGTTTATCAACATTAGAAATGAAGCTTTTTTCCTAATAAATTTAGGAACTGTGTTCATTTCATTATTGAATGTCTATTCTGTTAACAATATCAACATATTTATGTATTCTTGGTGATCTCGTTAGAATGTTTATTCTGGTGGAACAGGGCAGTGCTGCAAAGGGAAGTCTTAGCAAGGAAGATGCAGCCTTTCTATGCGTGGAAGCTCTTGATGCTGTCCCACAGAAAGGACTCGTCTTTGAGGTTTAGTGAACTCTTGATGAATTTATTTTGACTGTTATGGAGACCCTAGGTAGTTAATATTCACTGGTTATTATGCATTCAACTGGGTAAGTTAAAATACTTTGTCATAATTATTTATTATTGTCTCTATTTTCAACAGGTGGTAAATGGAGATGACAAGGTTTCGGATTGGAAAAGTTTCTTTAAGAAATTGTTGGAGAGCTCACAGTAATATGCACAGGCTAGTTACATTTTTATTTGCTAAAATTTCTATCAAATATAATCCGATGTAATTACTATTTTAAGTTTGTGTTGAACGAAGAACACATTTTATTTTCTCAAATAAGCGAACTTACTTTTCCAACTATTTATGATACCAATAAGATCGTCAGTAAATTTTTAAAAGGGGTGTTTTAAAAAATATCCAATTTTATGAGTGTCAATTCAAAAATGTTCACTTTTCAAATTAATTGCTTCATTTTTTCATTAAATGTAGAAATGATGTTCTCGATATTTGAACCCCATTTACTTATATTTCATAAGTATATATGTCAAATCACAAAATTACATCTTCTTGACAATTCAAATGTAGTTCTCGACATATTAGATGTCTAGAATGACATTTCATTCCAAACATGACATTTCTCTACAGTTGAAATGTAGTTTTCGACATTTCTATGTCAATAAGAAAAATAACATTTATTGTGATTTGACGTGTACACGTTTGAAATTAATAGGGTAGGTTATGTATCAAAATTTTATTGGTCAATAAAATTTGTAATTACAAAAATGTTCATTTTTGTTTTTGTGTAGAATTATAAATTGTTAACAAGTGTATTTTGGTCTAAATTATTTCAAAATGGACATTTTTGCAACAATTTGCAATGGTGGACATATTTGCAAATGGATATATGAAAGTTGACATTTCTAGTAATTTCCTCTTTTTAAAATAATGATTATGTTGCAATGGTTTAAAAATAAAGCTATGTGTAAAACATTGGTTGACAATAGTCCGTTGTCAAAATTCAAGTCAGTGATGTAGAAAACAGTTTTTAAAATGTATTAATATGATGATGGCAAATAGGATATTGTCAACAAATATTGTACATATATCAGGATTCATGGTTTAAACATGGTAAAAGGATTTTAAATTATTTCTCCATGTACAAATACATAAAAGTCCTAGGGATAGAAGTAGAACAAGAACTAAGAGAACGTTACAAAATTATATTTATTCGTTCATCGAATCAAGCTACAATCAAGATCTTACATGAATTTTAACTATACATTTACATATAACCTTTGAATCAAGATCCTACATTCTAAACTATAAGTTGACAAAAACTCGAAATAGTATGAAATGGGATTATAATGACCATTGGTATTTGCCTAGCTAAGGGTTCCATGTGATTAAGCTCTTAAAGATTCATATTGATTTGGTTATTCCAGAGTAACTATAGAGATTTAGCTGACGTTGCCCCTCTTAATCCTAAATTAAGATCCTTTAATGAATTGCAACATTTCATTTGTAAAACTTAATTTAAATTGAGTAGAATTATTTTATATTATCCGTCTCTATAAGAAAGTTGGGTTGACACAAACACCTAATCAAATTAGTTTTAATCCAATTTTATATAAATTGAACAAAAGTACAACTTCAATGCATTTTATGAATTGTAATATAGGTAGCTTCTAAATAGAAAGATTTAGATTTATGTGACATTAACGTCTAATAAATAGATAGAGGTATGTCTATAATTTAAATTTCATCTTTAAAGCATTTTTAATAGGAGAAAAAAAAATCATGATAGAGTGATAATAAATGTGTTTTTGCACACTTATTTAGATCACAAACATAACTTAATTACAAGTAAATTGTTTAAATTGTGACTTAATCTCGTTGAATTCATGCAATGTAGGTGTTTATATGAAAATGGTGGAATTCAGGAGAAAAGAGCCGAAAAATGACTAAAATGGAGCAAAGTGATAGTTGAGGGACTAAGGACGCAAATATTCAAAGTTGAACTAAAAAGCAACCTGGGAATGCGAACATGCTAAGTATGAATTCGAACGCGATACAAGATGATTGGAAGAAGAAGGAATTGCAAAGGGACTAAAATGAAGAAGAATGAAAGTTCAAGGACCAAAATGGATTTTTTCGCATAGTTGGTAGCATAGTGCGGTCCCTCTATGCGGCTGCATAGAGACCACCCGAGAATAAATTCTCAAAAAATTTTACTCTATGCGACCACATAGAAATGTACTATGCGGTCGCATAGAGCAATTCGGAGGCCGAATCTGCAGTTTCCTTATTTCGCTGAAACTCTTATGGAAACAAGATTTTTAGGGTCCTATATAAACAAAAACTCGACCAGAACGAAAGGGATGCCATTTTTAGAAGAAAAAGAGAGATTTTGAAGGAGAAAACGAAGAGAGAACAAGAGGAAAACATTGCACCAATTGAAGAATTGATTGAAACTTGATTCGGGTGATAACGTTTCTTCAACTATTTTTTTATTTTCTTCTTTTTAGTATGTTAGGCTAGATTTTTCATGGACTAAGAGATCGATGAACCTTGTAATACTAATTTTGATTTTTGATTTGGAGATTTGACATATTTAAGCACATGTTTTGGAATTGAATGATTTATACGTTTTTATTTTCATATTATTATTATGCACGTAATTATATGATCTTGGTGGCCTGTTTTCTGCATTCGAAAGAAGAAAAATAGGCTCGACATGGTATCATCACATGGTACGATAGGAAATAGAAATATACCTCTATGCCTCGTGTGAATTGTTGAGTATTCATGAAATCATAATGCATTCCTGTATGCTAATATTCGTCATAGAGATATAGTCGAATCACATATTGGGATAGGTTTGGCATTGCTCAAGAGAGATTGCTAAATTAAGATAGGAATATTGATTCATTAATTGTGGGAATGTGTGTCAAATTTGCATAATTAAAATTTGAACGGGTGTTGCTTGGGAATTCGTGATCCTAGTGCTTTAGTAATTCATTAATTCCATAAATTCTTATAGATTGCATTCAGGTCATTTTGCATTTAGTATAAGTTTCTTTCTCATAATTGCATCATAGTTCACATCTTCCTTAGTTAAATCACAATACATGCATCTTACTTTCGTGTTTCGGTTAAGGTCATAATAGATTGATTTAAACTAATTCAATTCTTGTGGGATCGATACTTGGACTCATAATCCGTTCTACTACTTGTTAACGAACTGTACACTTGCGGTAGGTTTTAAATCGAAATAAATAAATTTCGTGAACAAGTTTTTGGCGCCGTTGTCGGAGATTGAAATTTAGTTTAATTTTATCTATTGTGACACTAATTCGAACTTACCTAGATTAGTAGTAGTTAGCTTACTAGACTTAGTTTATTGTTTACTTTAATTTAATTTTGTGCTATTTTTACTATCTCAGGGCTTGTATGCAAAGAGCACTTGATCGAGATTTGGTTCCCATTGATCCAGAGATCGAACGCACATTTCGTCACAGGCAAAGAGAAGCAAGAGCAGCACAACAAATTCAAAAAGACTAAAAACATCAACAACAGATGGGTAACGAGCAAAATCGTCCGATAATTCAACTCAACGAAGGCGTGGGGGTTGAAGATGAAGGAAATATGGTGCTTGGGGACTTCATGGCACCGTTGGTGGTTCAGAGTCAATCTAGCATTGTGTATCCTCCATTTGAGCAACCGAACTTCCAGCTGAAAACAAATGTAATTCAACTATTTCAGAATGGACATCAATACCACGAGATGGCTAATGAGAATCCACATACACATATCTATATTCAAACAAGGCGAGTCCGAATCATTTGAAGAGGCCTAAAATTACTTCAAAAATATGTTAAGGAAGTGTCCTCAGCATGGCTTTGATAAAAAGACACAAATCTGATTTTTCTACACTGGATTACTTCCATCCTTCCAGAGCATGGTGGATTTATCATCCGACGGGTCAATCTCCACGAGAACAATTGACAGAGCATGGGAACTGTTTGAGAGAATGGCTACAACTTCAGCCATGTGGTCTACAGATCCAGTGGTTCAGAAGAGAACGTCGGGGGTTTATGAAGTAGATACTTACTTAGCATTATCCGCAAAGATAGACTCCTTGTTCCATAAGGTTCAGAGCATTTCACAAACCGCCAATGCAAAACAAGTCAAGAAGCCAAGCTGTGAAAAATTTGGAGCAGACCACAATACTGTCAACTGTCCAATTCTCACGCTGAGGATCGAATATGCAGATTTTGTGCAATGGGGTCAACGCCAACAGAACAATCCACATTGGGAAACCTCCAATCAGGCTGGAGAAAACAACCAAACTTCTCATGGAGTAACCAAAATCAAAACAGACCACAAGATCAATTTCAATAGCAGGATAAAAAGCCACCATTGGAATAGATGTTTGAGAAGTTCATGGCAATGACTAATCAGTACATGGAGGCCAACAACCAGTTTATGCGAAAGATAGATGCAACTCTCCAAGACCAAAGTGCTGCAATCAAAAATTTGGAGACGCAAATGGGATAGATGGTAATCTCCATGACAGGTAGAGCACCAAGAAACCTACCCAGCAACACTGAAATCAATTCTAAGGAGCACGCAAAAGCTGTAACAACCAGAAGTGGAGTACAACTACCGGAGATACATGTAAAAAGACCGATAGCTAGCAAGGAATCAACGCCTACCTCAGATGACGAGATTGTGGAACAGACTAAACAAACAACAGGGGATGTTGCCAAGAAGAGTTTCAATACACCACGGGTTACAGCTACCAACTCTATCAACCCTCATGAGCCACCTATTCTATTCCCGCAGAGGTTGAAAAAGCACAAATTGGATCAACAATATAGTAAATTTCTTGAAGTCTTCAAGAAACTCAACATCAACTTCCCATTTGCTGAGGCACTTGTTTAGATGCCGAGTTATGCAAAATTCCTAAAGGATATCCTCTCTAACAAGCGAAAGATAGAAGAAAATGAAACAGTGATGCTAACGGAGGAATGCTGTGCCAGAATCCAGAAAAAGCTGCCTCCAAAACTAAAGGATCCAGGGAGCTTTACTGTACCTTGCACTATTGAAAATTGTCATTTTGATAATACTTTGTGTGATTTAGGTGCAAGTATTAATTTGATGCCTCCCTCTGTTTTCAGGAAACTCGGCTTGGGAGAAGCTAAAGCCACAACAGTAACCCTACAGTTAGTAGATCGATCCCTTACACATCTAAGAAGGATCATTAAAGACGTGTTGGTAAAAGTAGAAAAGTTTATATTTTCAGCCGATTTTCTCACTTTAGATATGGAGGAAGATAAGGATGTTCCACTCATATTGGG